TGGTTTGCCATTGCCTCCTTCCTAGGGCTGAGAGTGAGTGACTGGCCCAAAGTCACCTGTCTGGGTTTGTGCCTAAGGCAGGACTAGAATTCATGGTCAACTGGTTTCTAACCAGCTGGTGCCTTTAATCACTTCATCAAATTAATTCTGACTTCTGGAATGCTGCATTGATATAGAGTGCCTCAAAGACAGCAGCAACCGAAATATATTTAGGCAGATAATGATAAGGTTGGTGAAGCTTCTGGATATCAGATCTTGTAACAAAATTTCCTGGGCTCAAAATGATTTCACAGAGTCATTTATAATTTCCTTGGCAGTAATATAAAAGTGTTCAGAGCACCTATATGACAGAGAGATGATAGATTAGATAGATAGATAGATGATAGATAGATAGATAGATAGATAGATAGATAGATAGATAGATAGATAGATGGATGATGGATGGTTTGCTATTGTTGCCTCAATTTATCAGGCTTGTTTAAAGCCATGGTATGGCTCTTATGATCTCCTATAAAAATATTGAGCAGACCAAACTCTGCTTGTTTTTTTCATTTGGCAAGATTCATTTGTTCCAATGTAATATGCTGCTTAGTAGATTTCAAAAAGTAGAGACTCCATCAGCAACTAGGCTGTTGGTAGCGCAATATTGGAAGAAGGACTCTTTGCCTACTATTGAAGAGTGGATATTGAAAGTAACGAACCTAGCAGAAATGGCGAAAATCTCAGCGTACTTGAAGGACTATACACAAGAAAGATACGTATTGGAATGGAGAAGATGGATTGATTATATTCAAAATAAGTATCAGACAAGAAAATATCAAATAGTTTATGAATGAACGTTAAGTATTAGAAGTATTATGTTATCTATAGTGGAGTTAAGGTTTCAGGGGGGGAGTTAGTAGTCTGAGGATAAATTAATCTAGTTTATGATTGTTAAATGAAATACCTTGTATTTTGCTCTGGGAAGTCTGGGGGGGAGGGTGGGATGAGGGGAGGGAAAGGGTGGGGGGAGCATGGGGGGGAAGAAAATTCTTGGTTTTTTTTGTAAAACTTTTCAATAAAAAAAAAAAGTAGAGACTCCCTGCCTCTCTGTATTTGTAACCATTTTCTGTTTTTGTTCAGAACTTCTGATTCTATTGAGTCAGTTTGATATAATCTATAGAATGACTTGTATAGTATTGTTTTGCCTTGCACACAAAAGCAGAATTATTCAGTAAAACAAAAGCACGCTGGGATATTTACTTTGATTTCCAAATTAGTTGGAAATAACTTAAGCAAACATGAATTTATGATATCAAACAGCAGAGCTTCTAGAGGTGAATCAATGTTGTTTGTCTTGTTAGCAAGAGGATGCTGGTTTCTTTGCTTAACCACTAGCTCTGCTGTGAAGTTTATTTCATCTCAAATGTGCAATATCATTTAGGGATGGACCGGATTCATATCTATCAAAAGATACTTGTATAACTACAAGTAATCCTCACTTACTGAACAGTCATTCAGCAATTATTCAAAGTTACAGCAATGCTGAAAAAAGGAGACTTATTGATCGGTCCTTGAATTTGTGACCATTGGGACATCCCCACTGTCAGATGAGTGTGAGCCAGCCACACATTTGCAATTATCACAGCGTCCTGTGATCAATCAATCACATGATCATCATTTTCAGCCTTCGCAGTCGGTTCCAGAAGCCAAAAGGAAGTAGCAAGTTGTGGATTGTGGAACTGGCATTGTAAATTGGTATGGTCATGTGACATTTTACTTAATGACTGTGCCACTTACCAATAAAGGTGCTGGTCCCAATTGCCATCAGTAAATGAGGACTATGTATTTGTACTAAAGTAAAGGAATATTATTTCAACGGGACCAGGACAATACCTCGGAAGAAGTGAACTTCTCTACTATGCAAAACTTAACTGACAATGCACTTCAATGCCTCCTATGGTCATTAATGCTTCATGATGGCCAAGTTGTTGATTCTCCCAGAAAATAATATAATTCTATAATAATATAACAATAATTATAGATTCTAATTTGAAGACTTGAGATAAATGTTTGTTTATCCTTGTAAAAACTAGATAGTGGAGAGTGATGCGCGTGAGTTTTGGTTAAATGCCTCAATTTGCTTTGCTCTCAAGAGCATGTACTACAGGCTTCTCAGGCTCCAGATGTGTTGGAATTGCAACTCCCAGATTTTCAGTCAAATGGGTTGAAAGGCGATCTGGGAGTTGAATTCACTACATTTAACTCTCCTTTGGATTAAGCTCAATTACTGATGACTTCATGATCATATCCAAATAGTTTTCTTGGAAACATTAAAAAGTGGTTTGCAATTGCCACTTTTGGGGATGCTTTTTCAATTACCCAGCTGAGGCCATAATATTTCCTATTGGGTCTCCCATCAAAGTTTTAACCAGGTCCAACTCTGCTTAGCTTCCAGGCCTGGGCAAGGTCAGCCAAGTGCTATCATCTGCTGGGACATGTATAGTTTAGCTTATTTTTTTTCTGGCTGGAATTAGTGCTGTCCTTGTGTTTTTCATTTGTTTGGTACTGCAGTTCAGTTCATCTTTGAAGATCATTGTCACTAAGTTAAAAGAACACTTCATCTGTTGCCCTAAACCACATCTAGATTTAGGATTTTTAGATGCAATTTTGCTTGAAAGTTGTATTAGCAAACTCAATGCAGTCTGTTTCTTGTTTTAGTTTTGTGGGTTGAGAGGACAATGAATACTGCATGACTGACTTTCTAACTTGTCTGACTTAAAAGCAGAAGATTTAAAATAAGGTGAAGAATGTAATAGTCAGGGTAATTTGTTAGAGAGATTACATATAAATAAAGGTTTGGTGACTTCATTGATTTTGTCATATAGTATTTTTGGAAACAACATCAATGAGGCATGCAGTTGCTTCTTTACAAGTTATGTTTTAACTTTTCAGTTAATAGAAGTAGCCCTGGAATTTCCTGGTCATCTCTCATCCACTTACTAACCAGATCTGGCCCTACTTAGCTTCCAAGTCAAAATATGATCAAATGCCATGGTCTACAAAGATTGGTCATGCATGGTTTACTTAACTTAGGTGGAAGCTGAAAGCAGAAGAGAAAACATAACCCATTTCCATTTATATTAGATTTCTTTTCAAAAATCATGTAGTAGCCATGGTGAACTAGGTTTAGATATATTAGGGAGAACTGAGGGCATGTGATAGGCCAGTGATGGCAAACCTTTTTGGCACCGCGCGCACATCTGGGCTGCAATCAGAAAGTGGAGCTACCCAGGGGGCATGTGTACACCCGAAAATGAACTTCAGGTTTCAGCTACTGAACTTCCGGCTTCAGCCAGCTACTGTTCCGGGTTTCTGGCACACATCTGCACGCAATGATCACCTGGCCAGAGCACATGTTCACTCATGCAGGAAAATGGAAAGTCAGCTCTTCCAGTTTCCGGCACTGCCGCATGATCATTGTGCGAGCATGTGCGCCAGAAACCGGAAGAGAAATGGGTGATGCCATGCATGCCAGGCAACATGGCTCCGTGTGCCACTTTGGGCACATGTGCCATAGGTTCACCATCATGGTAATAGGCTTTCTCTCAAAATAGATGTCACAAAATTTATCCCTTCGGAAAACAGCTGCTGTAATAAGCATGGCCAAGCACAAAAGGCCACAAATGTCTCTGAAGGGCTATCTCATTCTGATAAATGTTGAAGTGAAACATTCCTTCAAAATAGGAATGAAAGATGTAGGCACAAAGCAGGCACCTGAAGGATGTAATGGTTAGCCAGTTTGTAACTTTAATGTCAAAGTGATTTTCTTTACTCAGCAAAATGTTTGGTTGAGGTTTGGCTGATTTTGGCTCTGATGTGTTTTGCCTCATTGAGGCAGAGGACAGTGCTGTGTCTTCTTAGCAAACCAATATTTTAATCCACAATCCACAGTGGCAGAAAAAAAATCTTTTTACTGTACAAGAAACGCTATTGCAGTTGCTTGCTGCTACTTTCCTTCAGAAACTAAACTCAATTTCTTTTTGCTTTTTGTGCTAAGCGGGTGGATTTGCTTCTAACCACTGCAGCAAGAACGATGTCAATGGGGCCTAATGTGGATATTCCGGGGTTTGCTTTCTTCATTCCTACATCTCATTTATTTTGCTAATTAACATTTGATGAGGCAGATATTTGTGTTGAGGACATCATGTTGTCTGTTCCTGAATTAGGAGACCTGATCAGCCACATAGTTCAAAACACATTTTATCAATGTTCTCAGTGGTGTCAGTGTATGCAAACTAGTTTCTAATATAGGCATGGCATACTGGCCTGTGTTACTAAAAATTAGAGCTGTAAGGGACCAGGATAGAGCTGGAAGAGACCTTGGAGGTCTTCTAGTCCAATTTCCTGCTCAAGCAGGAGGCTATACAATTTCAGGCCGGTGGCTCTCTAGTCTTTTCTTAAAAAACCTTCACTGATGAAGCATTCACAACTCCTGAAGGCAAGCTGTTCCATGGTTAATTGTCTGTCCTCACTATTAAGAATTTTCTCCTTAATTCCAGGTTGCTTTGCTCCTTGATTAGTTTCCATCCATTGTTTCTTCTCTTACCTTCCGGTGGTTTGGAAAATAAGTTCACCCCCTCTTCTTTGTGGCAGTGTGAGTGTTCCCTCAAATATTGGAACACTGCTATCATGTCACCCCTAGTCCTTCTTTTCTCTCGACCAGCCATACCAATTTCTGCAACCATTCTTCATATGTTTTTGTCTCCAATCCTTTAAACATCTTAGTTGCTCTTCTTTGCACTTTTTCCAAAGTCTCAACATTACATATATGAGAGTTACATATACTGTATAAATTATTTGAGCTCTTACTAAAGACAAACAAAAGTGTGTTCATGTGGCATTATTGGACTATATTGTCACTGTTTAGCATGTAGTGTCTAAGAAACTATGGAGCAATTAGCTCTTCCTAAAACTGAAAACAATGCTGGTGAAGAACAGAGCAGACATGACATATGGAATAAAATGCCTGCAGGTTTAATACACTTGATATTATGTCAGTGTCTAGCTCATTTGTTATGAATTAATCTTCGCATATGTATGAAGAAAAAATATTTTTGGAGCATTTTTTAATTCTACTCTTTGGCAAAATGAAAAAAAAGGCAAAAAGATTATCTGAACATCCTAAAAGGCTCAGCAGTACAGCTTTTCTTGCCATATAAAAGGTACCTGAAAGGAGAAGCGAGAGAGAAGGAGGGCATTAGAGCAAGACTCCTGTGTTACAGTGAAAATTGGAACTTTCATTTCTAAGGGAAGTTCTTCAAAAAGAGAAAGGCAATTTTCTCACAGATGACAGCTGTCAATTGTACTACATTTCTGATTGAACCTTGTCTGCAATAAAATCATGCCTTTTAAGTTTGTAAATTTTTCCTCTTCTTTCCCAGCTAAAGGTCATCTACAAGCATTATCAAGGTTCTCCACATAATTTTTTCTTACTACATTTTTACAACCTGCCATCATAATAATAAACTTATGAATTATATAACTTGTTTAAAGTTATGGCATCTAGCAGCTAGATTAACATGCTCATAAAAATACCATAATTCAAGCCAAGTGTTCATTTTATCATACATTTCCTCTAAATTGACAAGCATATCATAAATGTTTTTTTTTGTTTGTACTTCCCTAATTTTGCTTATAGCTGCTGTGCATACTTTTCAGCCAGAATTCTTGTCAGATGACCTCTCGAGCACACTTAATCTTCCTGTTATTTTTGCATTCAGCCTTCCCTACTCTAAGTTATATGGAATAATAAAGTATTATTCCAATTGTCGGGTGTAGGCATAGTCTTAAGTTGTATGTTGAACAATTTGTACAGACAACTCCATAAGCAGACCATATCCATATTTTGACATTTCTCTAGATGTATCTTCTACCTTATCACTGATCAACATTCATACATGTAAGACTTCCTTTTCATCTTCACCATTTCACCTAGTTTTAGGTTACAGGTAGTCCTCAATTTATCATCACAATTAGGCCCAAAATTTCTGCTACTTACCAAGGTTATTAATTGAATTTTGCCCCATTTTATGATCTTTCTTGCCACACTTATTAAATGAAGCACTGCAGTTGTTAAGTGAATCTAGCTTTCCCATTGACCTTGCTTGACAGAAGTTTGCCGAAGGTGATCGCATGAACCTGAGACACTGCAACCATCATAAATATGAGTCAGTTGCCAAGCATCTGAATTTTGATCACATGATCATGGGGATGCTACAACGGTCATAAGTGTGAAAACTCGACTTACCACCATAATTGAGGCCAAAATTTCCATTGCTAAGTGAAGCAGTTGTTAAGTGAGTTGGGTCTCATTTTATGAAATTTTTGCTACAGTTTTAAGTGAATCGTGTGATCATTAAGCAAGTCTGGCTTCCCACATTAACTTTGCTGGTCAGAAGCTGCAGTGCAACAGTCATAAATACATGCTAGTTACCAAGTGCCTGAATTTTGAATATGTGACCACACTTGCAACGTTCGTAAGTGTGAAAATGGTCACAAATTACTTTTTTCAATTCTGCTGTAATTTCAAATGATCACTAAACAAATGGTTATAAGTTGAGCAGTACCTGTACGTTTGTTTTAAATGTGGAACATTTAAAAAAAAAGATTCTAAATTTAGTATGCTTTTAGGTTCTTTTTCAAAATATCTCTACTAAATACATTTTTGACACAATTGGATTGCATCAGAAAGTTGCTTCTTTAACAAATCTTGTCCTAACATATAAACATATTTTTGACAATTCTAAAGCACCTATTGCTAGATTAACCCAAATAATATTTATTTAATGTTATTCAAACCTATGAATACTTCTATTAACTTCCCTTTTAATTGTGTTACTTGGGACATATTTTGAAGTAGGAATGTTATCAACACCATTTCTTCTTCTAAATAATTTAACAAATATGCAAATGACTAGAGCTGCCAGTTCTCAGCAATACGTAATGCCTTCCTAAGTGAATGTCTACTGAATGAACTGGCTATCTACTTGTTCTTTTTATCCTCTGTTCTTCCTTGATAGGATAGGAGTCTGTTTTTGCTGGCAGAGCACTCCGGCCACCACAGGCACCCCCAACAGGAATGACGTCGAGCTGGCCACGCCCATCCCGGCCCCTCCACCCTGGCCCCCCGAGGTCAAACACAATCCTGATGTAGCCCTCAATGAAATAAGAGTTTGACACCCCTCTTCTAGAATATACACACCGGTATAATTTGTGTCAAGTACTTAATTAGAGGATGCAAAGGACCTGAATATATTTCATATTCAGTAAGATGCATTAGTATTTAAAATTAGCTGCCACTTTCATTAATTTGTAACCTTCCCCTAAAATAGCAAAAACATATTTGGTCAAAATGCCTTTATATTAAGGCTCAAAAACAAGAGTAGCACAATTTTAGTTATCCCTGGCATTTAGAATCAGAGGTTTTTTTTTTTTTAAACTACATGTCATTTAATAAGACACAGTGGGTGGGCACATATAAGCCAAAATTGAATTAACCTCATTGTGGTTTACTATGATCTGTCAACCTAATCATTTGGCTGGTCTGAGGGAAAAATATTTCTCTTTCAATCAATAGCTAAACTGGGGATTAGGGGATATCTGGGCATGGTTGAATGGAGGAGAAAATAGACAAGTTTTTGCCTACTGTTCTGCTCAGCTTTGTTCAGTTATTTGATTGTGAAGTGGGAATTTTCTGTTCGTGCAACTCATCCAAGATGAGAAAAAGGAATTCAATTAAATAGATATACACTGTTTCCCTGAAAATAAGACACAACCAGAAAATAAGCCCTAGCATGATTTTTCAGGATGCTTGTAATATAAGCCCTACCCCAAAAATAAGCTCCAGTTAAGATTGTCAGCAGACAGAGGTGTTTAGTACTGTACTTAGACCTAACCGGAAAATAAGCCATAATGCATCTTTTGGAACAAAAATTAATATAAGATACAGTCTTATTTTGGGGAAAACATGGTAGACTGGAAAGGTCACAATGAAGTGCCCACCCTTAGCCCAACTTAGACAAATAAGAAAACTAGCATTAATAAGAACATGGAAAGTGCTAGAATATTTGTCCAGAAAGAACTCTGAAGAATTACCAAAACCTGCTGGAAACTATTTTTATCCTAACAAGAACTTTAGCAAAGGAAGGTTAACCAAGCCCCAACTGGCTATAAAATAGAGTTAACATCCCTTTTTATATGACATTAGCAAATTGTACTTGCATTTGACTGTCTTTTCCTCATTGTTTTTTTATAGTGTAGCATTGTGATTTTATTTTATACACATACCTAATGGATTAAAATGAAAGATGAGGGAATATGTACAAGCAAATGCTGAGGGGAAATATAGCATGGCCTGGGTCAGTGTACTATTTTTATATATGAAACAAAAATTTTTTGACTTCTCTAATTTTCAATCATTTTTAAACAGGAAAAACAGATTTATGAGGGCATGCCAGTGCTGGGAACCTGAATCTAGCTGTTCCAGCATCAAGAACCATCATGCTGAAAGTTATAGTTCAGTGACACTTAGTGAGTCAAAAAGTTCTTCCTTTTGATGGAACAATATAAACCCAGTTGCTTATTCATTTACAGAGTACTATGAGTGTATATTGATGAAGATTCTCAGTTATCCAGGTAGAGTTGTCTGGAAGTTGTCATGGCAATAGGACTTTTTTTCTTGTCAGTTTGAAAAGTTTTGCTGCTTCAGTCCGAGCAAGTTGATTAAGGAACACCAACTTGCTCAGATTGAAGAAACGTATCTAGATAAGGAGCAAAATGTTTCAAACGATAAGGAAAAGAAGTTCAGTTGCCATAACTCATCTTCCAGAGTCACATGAGTGATTTAAGATGGGGAATGTCTTCTAGGAGATTCTAATTGTCATCTGTTACTCCATAGTACTAAAAGTTTATTTCTTTGTTTATTCATTTATTCATTATATTTATGTAGCTTCCCATCTCACAGTCAAGTCACTGTTGCTGGTGTACAATGATATTTTTGTGTTAGAATTTGAAAAACCATTGAATAGATTGAGCAAAGAATTGCAACTAATGTCTTCCAGTACATACAGTATATGGATATGTGAAATAGTAATATGATGATAATTGTGACTTAACAATTTTGAATATTGTTAAGTAAGGAGGAATAAACACGGTTACCAAAAACAAAGTTCTGACCAGCAAGCTGCGGTTCATGTAAAATAGCTCTACTTGGTAACATAACAGGAAGTTTAAACTTTTTCCTTGTGTAAACTGTTTTTGAATTTCCAGCAGAGCTCCACCAGTTCATATTTACAGTATCTTTGTTACAACACAAATAGTCAATAATATTGCACAATACATTTGAGACACACAGAATTATGTTTCATCTAATTAAAGAGAGAAATCCAAATTATGATATAAAGGCAGTTTCTTATGATCTTTTTTCCACTCCCCTCCCCCCCCCCAATGTGGCCCGCATGACTAAACGTCATCTTCATGAAATGCCTTGTCTTTGCCATTTGGAGAAAACACTGTGAGAAAGTGGGTAATTGAATGTACTTGGCATGATGGCAAGAGCACTTGGAGCTGCTGTCATTTAAGCCTTAGCACCTCTGTTCAGATTTGCCCAAAGGGGAAAACTGGAAGAAAATTAAAGAAGACTAACAAGAAAGCCTCTTACAGTATTTGAGACAAAAGAGATGATACACATGGACCCATATCCATCAAATAAAAGCAGGCAAGGTGCTCATTCTCTGCATTTAGGGATTTTTCCTCTAGCCACATAATTAATGCATCCTTATCTTTTCATTGCCTCTGTCACTCACAGAAAAATAAATACAGTCATTGATCATAAGGTAAAGGTTCCCCTCGCACATATGTGCTACTCGTTCCCAACTCTAGGGGGCGGTGCTCATCTCAGTTTCAAAGCTGAAGAGCCAGCACTATCCGAAGACGTCTTCTTGTGGCCGGCATGACTAAACGCCAAAGGCGCACGGAACGCTATTACCTTCCCACCAAAGGTCTCTATTTTTCTACTTGCATTTTTTACGTGCTTTCGAACTGTTAGGTTGGCAGAAATATAGGTCTGTATACTTCTATACATAGAAGTATACAGATTTCTATATACAGAATATATATATATATATGTATATGTATATGTATAAGTATATGTATATGTATATGTATAT